AGAAACAGTATCGAGCATGGCCCCTGGGGCTGAAGGGACCCCGGAGAAGACCAGCAACGGGCCCTGGTGCCTCCCCAGTCTCTGCCATCAGATGTCATTTTTCAGCTGCTCCTCAAAGAGGTGACAGCAGGTCCCACCCTTCATGGCTACAGGGGAAAAGGGAAGGCCAGGCCTACATATCTCACCAGGAGCCACTTCCAGCAACCATCCTACCAGGCCGTCCTTGGAAAGCAGGAGGAGGCTCCACCGGAAGAGGCCTTGTGCATGGCCAGCACATTACAGAAAGGAGGCACAAGGCCATAGGTGCCTCAGCACTGGAGCAGGACAAATCTAGATCCACGTACCCGGGTTTTCTCTGGGGTGACAGATTATTTATAAAGAGAGCATTGACAAAATAAAACCTGCCAAAAAAACCCTCTGAAAAACACACAGATCTCTACTCCACATAGAACAGGCGCTCATCTCCCCATATCTCCAGGTAACCAAAGTTAAATATAACCAGGACTGCACAAAGCTACCAGGGCATCGGTGCAGTGAGACGCAGCATGAAGGCAGGAAAGAAAAAGCAACTCCACATAAGCCGTCAGAGCCAGCAAGGACTCAGACGCCACTTGGAGCCACTGCACTGCCTCAGCAGTACCCAGCAGAACACCTCCGAGAACGTTCAGCAAATGAGGGCACAGTTAGCCCAGTGCCAGCACCCAGAGGTGAGGAAAGATGCTCATCCTCTGTACACGGCAGCCAGACACTCCTGGTCCCCCACCAGCTCCCATCCTCTCCAGCGCTTCCCGTTCCCAGGCCCATGATGGCACTGGGGACGTGAGTGCTGTGTGGGCTGACACCGTGTCAGGCTGCCGCGTGCCAGTACGGACTCAGTCAAGCTAGACCAGCTTTACTCTTGGAATCCGGTGATTTCTCAGCAATTTGGTGAAACCAAATTATCAAACTCTTGGTTTCCTTGCTGGTGGAAGCAAGGATATAAATATCATTGCAAATCCCTGAATTTCATTTATCTAGTCACTTTGTGCACAGGACCACAGATCTCCAACTGAAAGTCATGCTGGCAGATCTGGATTCCCCTTTGAAAATGTGCCCTACACCGACATGAGAAGGGCACCACACACTGCCCACCCCAGCAAGATGCGCCCGGGAAAGGGTGGAGAAGCGCTTACAGATGGAAAGCCTCAGAGGCAATTACGAGCACATTTAATCCATGGAAAGGCTATCATAAAATAATCTAAAGAGCAACCGCGGCGGCAGGTTTTTCCTTTTTCCCTGTGAGTCCACAAACCCAAAAGGTGATGCCTTCCAAAGTAGCTGGCAGCACCTGTACTGCTAAAGAGAGCTGAGCCACCTTGTGCCCTGCACCATCCCCTCACCTGACCACCCCTGCCTGCCATGCTCAAACTGATGTTCCAGGCAGCAAGGCCAGGGCCAAAAGGTGAGGACCGGGCATTCTACAGCCAAGGCATTCACACTAGTCAGAGTGCCAGCCTGGATGCCAAGGAGTTTTCAAACAGAGAAAAAAGAGAAGACTCCAAGGGTCTCACAAACCGAAGAAGGGAGAATGGCTCAACCAATCCAACAAACAAAAGCAAAAAACCAAGATGGCAAGAAAAATAATAGTCCACATTTGGCTCAGCAAATAACACCAGTGACTAAATGCTTTTATTTAATTAAAAATTTTGTCCTTCAGAAGGGTTCTCTTCTTCACGCACCCCAGTGTGCTTCCTTCTTCCCTTGGGGCCACAGTACTTACGGAAGGTGTGTGCCATGGCATCTCCACACACTTAACCTTTCCGATTATGCTACAGCTGCCTGCCTTCCCTCTCCCTCTAGACCACACCAAACCCAAGTCACTAACTCATCTGTCCACCATTGGTCCTGATGGGATCCAGCACACAGTCACAGCTCCACACATGATGCTCAGGGGAAGAACTCTGTCCAGGGCCCAGAGGAGACCACTTGGATTGCTCAAGTGCTGGCAGGGATCTGTCCACCTCAGTCAAGTCATCGAATCCCACAATTATATAAGGTCAAAGCTAGAAGAGAGCTTTTAGGTCATAAAGTGCTCTACAAATGAGTAATTGATGTCCAGAGACTAGGAGTGACTTGCCTAAGACCATGAGTTGGACAGAAAAACCAGGCCATGAATGCTGGACCTCAGGTCCTGATGGCTTCACTGCTGAATTCTACAAGACATTTAAAGAAGAACTACTGCTATTAAAACTCATTAAGGAAATTGAAAGGGAAGCAATACTTCCAAATTCACTCAGGAAGCAAGTGTTACTTTGATTCCAAAACCAGGGAAAGACCCAATCCAAAAAGAGAACTACAGGCCAATCTCCCTAATGAACATAGATGCAAAAATCCTCAACAAGATACTGGCAAACAGAATACAGAGGGTCATC